GGGTAGGCAAATGTCCATACTTTGATTTGCCACCATCTAAAGGCCTGGTGTCAAATTTTAGTAAAGATTTTGTCTATGGGACCCTAAAGTAGTTTATTGCCCTGGCCTACCCCAAATGGGTGGCCCAATAAAGTCCTAACAGACATTGTTTTTATATTTAAATATTGGTTGTCTTTGATCCAAACTCCTTTAAAACAATATATTTTCACAGGAATGAATGTAAACAAAGCTATATTTCGTGAAATATTATGAAAAATGTAAACGCATATAAAATTTTGCACTTCTCAAGTTGTATGGTTTTGTGTCACGACTTTATTTCGCCAGATATGTCGGGTGTTTAGTTTGATGCATCCACTTGCATCCACTATTATTATAGCTCAGTGTATGCATCACTACATCACGTTGGGGCTGGCAGTGCATCACTACATCACATTGGTGACAAAAGTGCATCAGTGGCGCATCTGTCCCGAGTCTTTTGGCCGAGTTTTCCCAACGACATGTACGGTTCTTACTCTATTTAATGTCATATTCCTAAGCAATAATTAATAAACAATATAATGTTATACCAAATACTTATCTAGTCCTTTTACTTTAAGATAACCAGATCATAATCCATACACATAGTTTCTATAGATCAAGTATCTTCCTAGGAATTTGTCTCCTTGTTGACCTTCGTAGTGGCGGTGGTTGTTCAGTTTCAGGTATAACAGTAGGAATTTCAACAGGACCGTTTTGGATATCTTTATTACTGGAATTTTCTTGCGGTGGTGATTTTGATACTTCTTGGGCAGGAGGGGTTTGACGCTCAGATATGGTAGGAAGATTTACCTTTGAGAATGATACCGGGATTTGGGACTCTTCAGTGTATTCTTCAACATGTGGAGGGTTGATTTCTTGAAAGGTTAATTTCTTGAAAAATGATGAATTTCTCGTTACGGAGGCGTCTGCATTCTTGGCGGTGATCATACTTGTTTTAACAACTGTCATTGGGTTAGGATTATAAACTGTTGATCCTTTACTCATGGTGAATGGTCGCTTTACTAATATTGAATCACCAAGGTTGATATAGGAAGGTTTTACATAACACTTCTTGTCGGCATATGCTTTGATCTTCATGCATGGAAGCATGAGTCATGCATGAGTCATGCATGCATGGAAGCACCAGTTTCAAGATGGTGGGATTTTTTTAGCTCTGCTAAAATCTACTATTTAGTCGATCTTTTTGAACAATTACATTGTTATTTGTTTTGTTTTTGTAATCTTATCTGTTAAAACATTGGAGATGTCGAAGAATATGATAAATTTAGAGGAGTTCAAAGCGATTTTGGACGAAAAATTGGCTCCACTAAAATCGGAGATTTCAGAAGTGAAGGCAAAGTCTGAAGAAATGAGAGCGTTTCTTGATATGGCAAATGAAAAGTATGATGAAATTATCACAAAATTAGCTCAGCGTGATGCTGAAATGAAAGACATTAAAACAGAAAATAAAATTTTGAAAGCAACTATACAAACTATGGATGATCAAGTAAGACAGCTGACGGATTCAGTTAATGACCTTGAGCAATATTCAAGACGCGAATGTCTTGAAATACAAGGCATTCCATTAAAGAATATTGATGATACTAATTCTATTGTGGTGAATGTCGGCGAGCTAATGGGTATAAATATTAAGGAGGAAGATATATCGGTCAGCCATCGCCTACCAATAAGATCAAAATGTGGTTAAACGTAGATTTAAGCGAAGTTAACGGCAGATGTATCTAGCAGCGGGGAGCCCCTGACGTCACTTAGAACAGTTGCAATTATCGCGCATCCGTCACTTTGCTACAGCTTGGCTAGCCAGCTACAACTGCTCTTTCGCTCTGTTATAAATCTTTGCTATTGCATGTTATTATTACTTGTTACTTTACTCAACATGCCTCGGCTAACTAGAAATAGTATGGAAACGTCAACGAGCAACAATATTGCTAGCACTAGCTCCGCTCGTCCGCCGTCGAGTACGAGTTCGCCAGTAACCAGTTCGCACGTGTCAGCGATGCAAACGAGCAATGCGGGTTCTTTGCCAGTCGCTAACATCGTCAACGACGTGGTTCAAGCGCTTCAAGGTAGCTTGGAAGGCCTTGTTCAGTCCGCCATTGATGCTCGTTTGTCCGTCTCGTCAACCGCAGCAGTCGCAAACAACGCGGGGCAGTTCTCGTCTCGTCCAGCAAATAACCTCGCTGAGAATGCTCCCCCAAACAATTTGGAATCGCAGACCGCAAATTACGAAACCGTTCATCCAGCTGATGGTATGGTTAGTGGTGTTAATGCTCATTTATCTGACGCCAGAGGTAGGCTCGTTCCTTCTTTTATTAATACGTTTGCCACGCCATCTACTTCATTGGTTTGGTCGGGTAACAGTTCCAGTTCTCCCTCCCTTGCGCTAGCCACGGGTAGTGTGCCGTATTATTGCAACCCTAACGCTAGTAGTGGGATCTCGTTACCACAATCGAGTGGTGTCTCATCATTTATTGTTGGCCCAGGTTATGCCCCAATACCTGCAAAAACTGTCGGTGCTATTACTGCAGGGAAGTATATAAATCTGGCTGATCTTCTCCCGGAGAATTCCTACGCCGTCGACGAGTCCAACGAGCCCCATCTGCTTTTAGATGGTCGCCTAGTTTTAACAGGCATGATAAAAAAACCGCGGAAAGAGATTGTTGATATTGTTTCGTGGGTGGAGGCGTTTTCTATGTATGCCTTGATAGTTTGTACTTCAACCCCTCACCGTTGGCGCGATTTAACGACCTACAAGTTGTTGATTTTACGCACGTATCGCCAGTTCCAGAGTACTGCATGGTTAACGTACGACAAGGCCTTTAGACAACACGCAGCCGCTCTAAACCTTACGGACTGGTCGGAACTGAACGTCCAGTTGTTCAATTTTTATACCGCCGGTTCTGCTGCGAAACCTTCTCATTCGATTCCGCAACCGCGGGTCGATCGTGTGACCGAAGGGCAAGGCAACTCAGCTGCGTTTGTAGTCTGTGCATCGTGGAATCGAGGACGGTGTGTAGCCCCCACTGCATTGTGTCGCTTTCGCCATGCATGTTCGAACTGTTCGGCGGATCACCGAGGCATAAACTGTCCAACTTCTGGTAAAGCCCCTAGTTACCCGATCCCGCCCAAAAGCCGTCGTTTCTAGAATGCTCTAGTACGTATCAAGCGCTCTGGCGGTGTGTTATGGGTATCATGTACTGTTTTAATTTCTATAACTTGGATTGTTAACATGCTTATTGGTTGTGAATCTCAGTTACTAGGTTTTTATAATGTTGACGTTTTTTATATATTTAGGGTCTGGTTTTACAATAAATGTGTTTGATTTTGGGGTTTTTTTTGAAACGCGTATGTTTTTTTTTTTTGTTTTTT